AGCTAAAGCTGAATGGTTCTATGAAGACCTGCAAGACCCTCTAGAACTGACACCAAACAAAGATGTCCTTTTCATCATAGGGGAATGGAATGCAAAAATAGGAAGTCAAGAGATACCTGGAATAACTGGCAAGTTTGGCCTTGGATTACAAAATGAAGCAGGGCTAAGGCTAACAGAGTTGTGCCAAAAGAACACACTGGTGATAGCAAACACCCTCTTCCAACAACACAAGAGATGACTCTACACATGGATATCACCAGATGGTTAATACCGAAATCAAATTGATTATATTCTTTGCAGCTGAAGAAGGAAAAGTTCTATACAGTCAGCAAAAACAAGACCGGGAGCTGACTGAGGCTCAGATCATGAACTCCTTATTGCAAAACTCAGACTTAAATTGAAGAAAGTAGGGAAAATCACTAGACCATTCAGGTATGACCTAAGTCAAATCCCTTATGATTATATAGTGGAAATGACAAATAGATTCAAGGGATTAGATCTGATAGACAGAGTGCCTGAAGAACTATGGACAGAGGTTCATGACATTGTACAGGAGGCAGTGATCAAAACCATCCTCAAGAAGAAGAAATGCAAAAAGGCAAAATGGTTGTCTGAGGAGGCCTTACAAATAGCTGTGAAAAGAAGAGACGCAAAAGGCAAAGGAGAAAAGGAAAGATATACCCATTTGAATGCAGAGTTCCACAGAATAGCAAGGAGAGATAAGAAAGCCTTCCTCAGTGATCAGTGCAAAGAAATAGAGGAAAAAATAGAATAGAAAAGACTAGAGATCTCAAGAAAATATAATACACCAAGGGAACATTTCATGCAAAGATGAGCACAATAAAGAACAGAAATGGTAGGGACCTAACAGAAGCAGAAGATGTTAAGAGGAGGTGGCAAGAATACACAGAAGAACTACACAAAAACGATCTTTATAACCCAGATAACCATGATGGTGTGATCACTCACCTAGAGCCAGACAACCTGCAGTTCAAAGAAAAGTGGGCTTTAGGAAGCATCACTATGAACAAAGCTAGTGGACGTGATGAAATTCCAACTGAGCTATTTCAAATCCTAAAAGATGATGCTGTGAAAGTGCTGCACCCAATATGCCAGCAAATTTGGAAAACTCAGCAGTGGCCACAGGACTGGAAAAGGTCAGTTTTCATTCCAATTCCAAAGAAGGGCAATGTCAAATAATGTTCAAACTACTGCACAACTGCACTCATCTCACATGCTAGCAAAGTAATGCTCAAAATTCCCAAGCTAGGCTTCAATAGTACATAAACCAAGAATTTCCAGATGTTCAAACTGGATTTATAAAAGGCAGAGGAAACAGAGATCAAATTGCCAACATCCATTGGATCATAGAAAAAGCCAGAGAATTCCAGAAAAACATCTGCTTCATTGACTGCGCCAAAGCCTTTGACTATGTGGATCACAACAAACTGGAAAATTCTTAAAGAGTTGGGAATACCAGACCACCTTACCGGCCTCCTGCGAAATCTCTATGCAGATCAAGCAGCAACAGTTAGAACCAGATGTGGAAGAACAGACTGGTTCCAGATTGGGAAATGAGTATGTCAAGGCTGTATATTGTCACCCTGCTTATTTAACTTACATGCAGGATTAGATCTCTGGCAAATGGTACTGTGAACAAAGTCCTTTGATGCCTGGGGCTGCTGTCCTAGTCTCTACACAAAGCTACTTTATGTATTTATTCTTTTATTATAAATTTTTAAAGATAGGTTTGTCATAGTTTTTCTTCCAAGGAGCAAGCCTCATCTAATTTCATGGCTGCAGTCACCATCTGCAGTGATTTTGGAGCCCAAGAAAATAAAGTCTCTCACTGTTTCCATTGTTTCCCCATCTATTTACCATGAAGTGATGGGACTGGACGGCGTGATCTTAGTTTTCTGAATGTTGAGTTTTAAGCCAGCTTTTTAAAGATATGGTTCCTGCCCTCAAGGAGCTTCCAGAATACCAAGGCCCTAGTGGCTCACTGGTAAAGAATTTGGCTGCCCGTACAGGAGACACGTGTTTGATCCCTGATAGAGGACGATCCTACCTGCCCCAGGACATCTAAGCCCATGCACCACCATTACTGAGTCTGCGCTCTAGAGCCCAGGGGCTGCAACTCCTGAAGCCACCACACCCTAGAGCCTGAGAAGCCACCACAATGAAATGCCTGCAGCCCGCAACTAGAGAAAAGTTTATGCAGCAAGGAAGACCCAGCCCAGCCAAAAACAAACAGATACAATTAACTGTTTTTAAAAATTAAAAAACAAGTAGAAGGACAGGTGTTGGGACTACCCTGGAGGTCCAGGGGTTAAAACTCCATGCTTCCAATGAAGGGGTGCAGGTTCCATGCCTGGTTGGGAAAGTAAGATCCCATTTGCCACGTGTCAAGGCTTTTAATAAAAAAACACAATTAAAAAGTAAAAGGACAGGTGTCAATTGGGTTTCCATGGTTGTGGCAGATAGTATTTTCCAAGCTGGCCCTTCCTACAGAGTGATAGTGAGGCACTCCCACTGATACACGAGACCCATAGTCCCTCCCCCTGAGAAGTGGGTCAGCCTGGGATCTCCTGCAAGCTTGCTTTTGGAACCCAGTTGCCACACTGCGAGGAAGCCCCAGGCTGTGGGAAAAGGCCCCAGGTGCTCAGAAAGACAGCCCCAGCTGAGGGTGCACCCAATGGCCGGCATCAGCTGCAGTTTCGTGCCTGGGGAAGTGAGGCGTAACGCAAAGCGGAGGTGGTCGCTGTCCCCAGCTCCTGGCCCAGAGCGCCTAACACCTTTGGAATTCACTGAGGGATCGGAGTGTCTTTCGTTACTCATAAGGGGACCTTTTCCACCGTGTCTGACTTTACGCTAATGAGGTGGCTCAGGCCTGGGCCCCTAGACAGCTTCTCGGTGGGGACTGAACTCCAGAAAAACCTACCACTGTGATTAGCGGGTTAGAATCTTCAGCACCAACCCCAGCCTTCCAGAGATAAGATGGGGACTGGAGATGTGCTTTAATCAGCTCTGCCTGTTGATAAAAACCTGAAAGGAAGAGGTGGGAGGAGCTCTGGGATAGGGAACAGACTTCCAGGCTGGGAGGGTGGAGAGTCTAGGGTCGGTGAGGACGGGGCATGGAGGCTCTGAGCCTCCCTCCACCAGAGAGCTCACCCTATTCAATTAATTATTTAGTTATTTTTATTTTATTTATTTATCTTTCTCAGTTGTTCCAGGTGGCATGTGGCACATAGGATCTCAGTTCTCCAACCAGGGATCGAATCCGTGCCCTCTGCAATGGAAGCTCAGAGTTTTAGCCAGTGGATCACCAGAGAAGTCCCTCTTTTAAAAAATTTTAACCATTTTATTGAAGTATGATTGCCATGAAAGTGAAAGTGTTAGTTGCTCAGTCGTGTCTGACTCTTTGCAACTCCATGGACTGTAGCCAGCCAGGCTCCTCTGTCCATGGGATTTTTCTGGGTAAGAATACTGGAGTGGCTTGCCATTCCCTTCTCCAGTCCTTTTTTACATTTTCTGTGAAGCAATTTTTATTGAACCATTTTATTGAAGTATGATTGCTTTATGAAAGGCTAAACATATTTAGTGTATGCAACTCGATAAGTCTGAACACAAACATACACCTACCAAACTATCGCCACCATCTATGTGCTAAACATATCCACGATCTCCAAAATTCCCCCTGCCTCTCTTACTTTTTTTTTCTGCATTGAGAGGCATGTGTGATCTTAGTTCCCGGACTAGGATTGAACCCACACCTCTTGTGGTAGAAATGTGGAGTCTTAATCACTGGGCCACTGGGAAAATCCCCTGCCTCCTTTACTTATTATTCTTATTTGTTAAAAGGACACTTAACATAAGACCTGCACTCTTGGCAAGTTTTTACACATACAATACAGTACTGTTAATTCCAGGCACTAGGCTATGTATGGAGCTCTCTAGGACTTGTTCATTTTGTATAACTGAAACTTTGCACCCTTTGACTAATACCTCCCTCTTGCCCTATCCCCTGGCAACCATCATTCTATTGCCTACTTTCATGAGTTTAACTCTTTTATTATTTTTTAAATTAAGTACAGTTGATTTAGGGTCTCCCAGGTGGCACTAGTGGTAAAGAACCTGCCTGCCAGCGCAGGAGATGTTAAGAGAGGAGGGTTCCATCCCTGGGTTGGGAAGATGCCCTGGAGGAGTGCATGGCAACCCACTCTGGTATTCTTGCCTGGAGAATCCCATGGACAGAGGAGCCTGGAGGCCTACAGTCTGTAGAGTGGCAAAGAGTTGGACACGACTGAAGCGACTTGGCGCGCACACACACACACACACACACATGCACAGCTGATTTACAATATTGTGTTTGTTCCTGGTGTATGGCAAAGTGATTCATAAGGATTAATAAAGAATATACATATATATTATTTTTCATATTGTTTTTATTATTTTTACAAGCTATTGAATATAATTCCGTGTCATACAGTAGGACCGTATTGTTTACATTTTTTATATAGTAGTTCTATCTGCTAATCCCAAACTCCTGATTTATCCCTTCCTTAGCTTCTTTTCCCTTTGGTAACTAGAAGTTTGTTTTCTATGTCTGTGAGTCTATTTCTGTTTTGTAAATAAGTTTATTTGTATCATAATTTATTTATTTGTTTAGTTGTAGCATGCAGTATCTTAGTCGCGGCACGGGGGATCTAGTTCCCTGACCAGGGATGGAACCCAGGGCCTCTGCATCGGGAGCTCGGAGCCCTAGCCACTGGACCACCAGGGAAGGCCCAGAGGATCTATGGTGACTACAGAGCCTCGGGGATTCCAGGGACAGACAATCTGAGATGAAAGAATGAGAAGTGAAGAGCATGCGGAAAACGGCAGCAGCTGTGTCTCTTGGGCTGCAAGCAACCGAAAGCTACTCTGGATTAAGGAAAAGAAAAAAGGGAAAAATACTAGGGGAGCTCAGAGAGTGACAGGAAGAGATGAGCAACTGGGACTCAGAAAGGACATGATTCAGGCAGGGCCACCCTGGGGCCCTCAAGGATCTTCTCTGGGAGGCAGACATCACAATAACTTATTCCCACATAACCGAGGACCTTGTCCTGCTCCTCCCAGGTTGCCCTTCCTGGCGAAGGGAGGCGGATTCTGGTCTGGGTGCCTGCCTGCCTGTTGGGGAAAAGGGAGGAGCCCAGTGACTCACAGCCCACCAGAACCCCAAGGAATGAGGGAGAGGAAGTCTCCCCCCACACACACCCCATAAAAGAACAGGAAGCTGTGGCTGGCCTGGCAAAACCAAAAGGCATCTACTGGATTCGCTCGGAGAAGGTTCAGTGCCAGTGGCAGAGACCTCCAGGGACAATGGCTTAAAGGAGATCAAAGTTGATTTCTCTGGTGTCTCCAAACCCAGAGGTAAATAGTTCAGGCTGATACCTTCCTCTTATCTGTGAAGTCTCAGGGCCCAGCTCCTTCCTCGGGTATCAGTCTAGAGCTCTAGCCAGCACGTCTAAGTTCTAAGCAGAGGATGAAGAAACAGAGTGGAGAGGGAGCCGAGGGTGTGCCCCCCGGGTCCTGGGAAAACATCACACTTCTTACATTCCACTGGCCGGATTTTCGTCACGTGACCACTCAAACTGCAGTGCAGGCTGGGAAATGTCATCCCTGCTAAAAATTCTTTTGCCCCCAAGGAAGAAAAGCCTGGCTCCAGGATAATGCCCAGGTCCTGCCACATCCACCATGCACCATCTGGCTGCCCAGTACTCACATGCATACATCTTTTCACTTCTATTTAATATTTCCCCACCCATCAGGATGTTCCCACCCATCACAGTGACGCCACCATCATGTCACACCCAACACAGGAATACACTCCTCGTTCTCAGGTCCAAGTGCTGCAAGAGGTCCGAGTCCAACGCCTCTGGGAGTGTCCTCTTTCTTCAATCCCGTCTCAATGTTTTGTAACCTGTGGACCAAAGAGAAGTCTAACTGGCACCTACTCACCTTATGCGTGTGTATTTTAGTCATTCAGTTGTGTCCGACTCTTTGTGACCCCATGGACTGTAGCTGTGTCCATGGGATTCTCCAGGCAAGAATACTGGAGTGGGTTGCTGTTCACTTCTCCAGGGGATCTTCCTGACCCAGGGATCGAACCCGGGTTGCCGCCCGCATTGTAGGCAGATTCTTTACTGTCTGAGCCACTAATAATGCGGAAAAGGAAGAGGAAAGAGATGAAAACATTCAAAAATAACACTGAAATGGCACAGAACGCCAGGAAATGCAGGTAGGCACTGTCTACAGTCTCCATTCTACAGTCAGAAGCCTGGAGCTGACATTTATCACTTCCCTTTTCACTACCCTTGCTGAGATCCCCCTGTCTTTGGCCAGCATCAAAGTTAATTTGTTCAAAACTTCACTCCTAAGAGGTCTCAGTCCTTGGTAGTCCAGCTTACAAAGGAATTCTAGCATCTTGGGGGAAACTTTTACCTACTTCTCCCCACTTTTTTTTGGCCATTTGGCATGCAGGATCTTAGTTCCCCAACCAGAGATCAAACCCATGCCCCCTGCACTGGAAGAATGGAGTCCTAATAACTGGGCTGCAAGGGATGTCCCTAAACCTTTACCCCTGATGTATCAGTCATCTATTGCTGGGTGATTAATAACTCCTAAACTTAAAGGCTTCAAAGAACAATAAAGAGCAGGCAGGGTTTTGTACTTTCAGAATGACTGCCATCAAAAAGTCTACAAACAATAAATGCTGGAGAGGGTATAGAGAAAAGGGAACCCTCTTACACTGTTTGTGGGAATGCAAACTAGTACAGCCACTGTGGAGAACAGTGTGGAGATTCCTTAAGAGGCTGGAAATCCCTCTGTTGGGCAGACACACCCAGGAAACCAGAATTGAAAGAGACACCTGTATCCCAGTGTTCACGGCAGCACTCTTTACAATAGCTAGGACACGGGAGCAACCTAGATGGCCATTGGCAGACGAATGGATAAGGAGGTTGTGGCACGTATACGCAATGGAATATTACTCAGCTATAAAAAAGAACACGTCTGAGTTGGTTCTAATGAGATGGATGAAACTGGAGCCTATTATACAGAGTGAAGTAAGTCAAAAAGAGAAACAGCACTACAGTATATTAACACCTATATATGGAATTTAGAAAGATGGTAATGACGACCCTATATGCAAGACAGCAAAAGAGACACAGATGTAAAGAACAGACTTTTGGACTCTGTGGGAGAAGCCGAGGATGGGACGATTTGGGAGAATAGCACTGAAACGTGTATATTATCATATGTGAAACAGAGGACTGATTGCAAGTTTGATGCAGGAAGCAGGACACTCAGAGCCGGTGCTCTGGGACAATCCAGAGGGATGGGGTGGGGAGGGAGGTGGGAGGGGGGCTCAGGATGGGGGACACGTGTGCACCCATGGCTGATTCACGTCGATGTGTGGCAAAAACCACCACAATATTGTAAAGTAATTAGTTTCCAATTAAAAAAAAAAAGAGAGAAGGTAGGGTTTTGTAGAATGACTGTGACCACTTCCACGTCACCCTGCGGAGCTGGGGACAGCCCAGGAGCACACATTCACAATACAAGAAGGGGAGAGCACTAAATGATCAGAGAGAAACAATAATAGGCTATTCGGTCTTTTTTTTTTGCCTTCAAGCAGTAGGCCTTTAAAAAAGCATCATAAGGAAACTATTATCTGTAGGCTCCATAAACAACAAGATCCTATGTATAGCACAGAGAACTATAGTCAATATCTTGTGATAAACCATATGGAAGAGAAATATAAAAAAAGAACATATGCATTATTTAGCTGAATCACTTTGCTCTACAGAAGAAATTAGCACATCGTAATTCAACCATACTTCAATAAATCAAATTTTTTTAAAAAAGGCATCACAGGGACACATTTTGGTCAAAATATTTTTTGAAATGAGACTAGAGGATCATCATATCAATTCCGAGAAATTAATCTGTAATTTACAGTACGCTTCAATCACTATGAATAAAAGGCCAGTCTTGTTTTTCCATCTCCCCACTGTCAACAGTGCACTCCCTTCATCCTATAATTTTGTTCATATGAATCTCTAAGATTAAAAACTCAATAAAGTAGCTTTAATTACATCAGCACACCTAACATTCAAGAACTAAGAATAGTTCTTGAATTTCAGAAATACCTAATTCATGACCAATTTTCTCTATCTCAAAAAAGGTTTAAAAACTTTTTTTAAAAAATTAAAAAAAAAATATTTTGGCCGGGCCTCATGGCTTGTGAGATCAGAGTTCCCCAACCAGAGCCTTCACCAGTGAAAGAAAAGACACCTAACCACTGGACCACCAGGGAATTCCACGCCCCCACCCTGTGTTTTTAATTACAAAAATTTCACGTGTATGCAAAAGCAGACAGAACAGTAGAGGGTATCTTCATATATGCATCATCCACTTATAGAGTTATCAATTTATGGATCAGTTTGGGTCATCTCTACTCATTACTGGAAAGCAAATTCCTTGTACCATACATTACTACATCTGTAAATATTTCAAGGGTATTTCTAAGGGATACACTCTTTTTACAAGCAACCAGAATTTCATTTAGCACCTTAAAAATAATAATTCCTATCATCAAATTTTCTGTATTGCCACCTCTTTTATCTAAGTGACTTTAAAGAAATATTTATTTATTAGGCTGCATTGGGTCTTAGTCGAGGCACACAGGAGTCTTGCGGGACCCTTTGCTGTGGCACCCAGACTCCAGCTGTGGCCCACGGGCCCTGCGGCATGGGCTCAGCAGTCGTGGGGCAGGGTCTTCATTGCTCCTTGGCATATGGGTCTTATTTCCCTGACCAGGGATTGAACCTTTGTTCCCTGCAGCACCAGATGGATTCTTAACCATTGGACCACCAGGGAAGTCCCCAGCATTAAACATTATTAATTGCAATGATTATTAATGGACCCACTGAACTTGCATTCTAAGCACTCCAGGGCTCTGAGCATGAAAATAGCTGTTACTTTTGAGTGCTCTCTCTGCTTCCCAGATGGTGCTGGTGGTAAAGATCCTCCCTGCCAATGCGGGAGACCTGAAAGACTCAGGTTTGATCCCTGGGTCGGGAATATCCCCTGGGGGAGGGCATGGCAACCCATTCCAGTATTCTTGCCTGGAGAATCCCGTGGACAAGAGGAGCCTGGCGGGCTACAGTCCATATCTCCATGGGGTTGCAAAGAGTCAGACACGACTAAAGTGACTTAGCACTATCTGCCTGGGATGTGCTAGGTGCTCTGGACCCCTGACAGTCGTTTATTGTTATTTCTCACAAATATGCTGTAGGGTGGATGTCCTTATACTCATTTCACAGAACCAGGTCATGGGGCATTGAGAAGTTGCTGAGCCTGAAACCTGGCTTCTCTGCGCTTTTCTCACTGGCTCATGCTGAGAAAACAAAGAAACGCTTTCCTAGTTCCCTCACCAGAGATGCTGCTCAGAAATCAGGAAGGAAGATGATGGGCAAATCACCTGGATCCTATTGATCAGCAATCATGATTGTTCATAAAACTGTTCTCTTTGCCTCCTCTTTTCTCCTCCTTCCTCTCACAATCCTTTGTACTTCTATGAAAATCCTTTTCACACTGACTTATGATTAGTTCTGTCTTGTTTGTGTCTCAAATTATAATTAGCAGGATGTCTTCCCCAGAGATGCCAGAAAATTCAGACTTGAGTTAAAATGTTGTCATGAGGCTAAACTAATTTACCAGCCTGCTTTGTAGCACAGAACTAGTTAACGTTGATATAGAGCAAACCTTAAATCCCATTAGTGCTCCTGATGTCTTCTCTCTGACCTCTCCTTCTAATTACAACAAGCTTGCTCAGTTAAGCTTTATGATAATTTTGTTTGCCATTGTTTATGGCAACCAAATAGCTTATTTAAAATGCCTCATTGCCTCAATGGCATTTAGAGACAAAAATGAGTAACCAGGGAGGAGATATATATATCTCTCACAGCCCCCAAGCCCATCTGGTCTTTCAACATAGTTTTAATAAACAGCATTGCCAATTCTCCACCCCAGAAAATCTTTACAGGCCAAGAAATAAATTTAGCTGATCTCCAACCCTGTTTTCACATTGTTGGATTGGTTTTGAGTCTTTTGGCAAATTTTCCATGAAAGACCCTAGCCTTTAAAATTTAGTTTTCCTAAAACACTGTATAAAGAAGTGTTAATTTTGCTTCTGGGAGACGATGTTTTGAAAAACAACCATAATTCAGCAGTATGTGTTCTGTCATCTTCAAAGACAGCA